GTCTGTGGTGCAAGTCGAACCAGGGTGCGGTGATCAGATTCGGCCTACTGTATGTCTGTTGCCTGTACGTCCAACATCTCTGCTTCAGCGTAGTTCCATCCAGATCATCGCCAGTTCTGTATCTCATTGGCTTCAGTCCACACAGTCCTGCGTGTGAAAGTTTCATTATCGTTGAGTTGACATCATGCGGTGGTCGGTTATGGTCAGTCTGCTGGTCATCAGACTCAGTTGATGCGCTCTCCCTGTCGATCCGTCTGCAGCCTGTTGTTCATTCAAATTTGACATCGTTGGTCCATAATGTAGAGCAAGACAAATTGCGCGCACCTCCGCCAATGCCCCTTCGCATGGACACTCAACAATCACCGCGACGATTTCAAAGTCACTCAATTTTTTCAGACGCAGCTCTCTCTAACCCATACACTTTCTCCAGGATTTACTGCTGCTATTGTCTCAGTTAGTAAACAGGGTTCAATTCAGATGTAACTCTCCTAGACATACTTTTCCCGAAAGTATATTTATCTGAAACTCTTGCCACAGTTCCACATTCAGTTTACCTCATTGGACAGGCGGTATTGCTTACCGCGTACAGAATAATAAGCATTGCTGTTTCAGGAGTTGCTCCTAATAAAAACGCGAAAATGGTATCTTAACAAAGGGGGCCCTGTCCATAATACCTTAACAGCCTACCTACATTGCCGACTGACCAGGAACTTACAAGCTCTGAACCAGAATAACCACGGTCTGGGTCCACAAATAGCTCGACCTGACGAGTTTGGTTTAGTCTGAGCAGAAATTCACCCCGACCGGTGGTTTGAAAATGGCTAGACTCCCGAACATTCATTCCCGCACACGCCAGAATGACCAGCAAGTGGGGCCTCACGTCGCGTTACTATTAAATTTTCAGCGCCATTCGAAAATGTGAACCACCGAAATGAGGAAGTTGACCTGAGTTTCACGGTTGATCAGATGTCCTTCAAACAGAATTCGGGAATCACGCTAGTCCACCCATGCCCGTCGCCAAATAAGAATCATTTGCTCTATCCGGAAACTGTCCGTACAGGTAACGGAACGCCGAATACGCAATCCTTCGTCCGCTTCTGTAATTTATGTGTTCATTCGCACCTGCGGTGATATTTACGGAGAACAGAAGAATCACCGGAAACTGTCATTGTCGCAAACATCCTAAACGAGAGGTTCATTTGGGTTCTGAGGGAGGCTCCCATCAAAACCAAATTGGTGTGCAAATGCCTGCAATCTGGGTTCAAATAGAACATGAAGTTGACGAAAACTCTATGCGTTTGCCTTCCAGGTGAGGCTCCCATCAAAACCAAATTGGTGTGCAAATGCCTGCAATCTGGGTTCAAATAGAACATGAAGTTGACGAAAACTCTGGGAATGCGTTTGCCTGAGGAACACCACGGGGGTGGGCGAAACCGATCTTTGATTTTCGTTGAGCGTTCTCCAACCGTATGAACCTGCAGTGGCTACTCTCCTCTCTACGTACCCCTGGAACTAATTTTATTTGTAAATCAACAAAGACTCTCAATTATCTTGTTCACCCCACAACCATTTCATCAGCACCTACTTCTCTCCTTCGCTATGGGGAGAGTATTCGTGGAGATCAATCGTCAGATCACGCGTCACGAACACTCAAACC